TTTCCCTTGACACACCACGCAATATGAGTAATGGGGTCCCTGAGCCCAACAGCGCTCCCTGATGACAGTGGTCTCTCAGGGCTAGCATCTGGCTGGTCAATATTGGGGGTTGTGATTGACCTAGCCGCTATCTTGCGACCATCCTTAGAGTCCCAAAGTACCAAACTATTGTCATCATGCACTGTCATTACGAAGATCCCGTTAGGATGCCAGATGGCCCTGGTCAGTCTTGGCCTGCGCGGCTCCTGGGATGGGACATCGCAATTCCCACCCAATGCACCTGGGGGAACTTCATACTCGAAGTACTTCTGTGCTAAGTTCTGCTTAAATGAGAATGTCACAGCTCCTTCGGGATACCCCACTAGGATCTTTCCAATATCGCGAGGTGAAAAGGAGAGTGCGAGAACAGGGCAAAAGCGTGCTCGCGGATTACGCTGGGCCCAGAGATTGGGGACTTTGAAAGGCGTTAGAGATTCACGGTCGAGATCGTATGCAATGATATCACCTACGGAAATCAGTTAGCATGTCATCAGTAACCGTTGCGGAAGCATTGCCCAGAGACCATTCTGCAGGCCAATGAAGGCATAATCGAGGCTGGGATCCGTCAACAATGCGCTGACATGGTTAGGAGGGGCATAAGAGAAGAGGGTCTGTCGTGTCTCGAGGGAGAAAACACAAATTTCACTTTTCGAATCAACGCTGACAAGCTTGTCGGCACAGAATTGGAGGAACTTGGCCGACGCCTTCCGGGGCAGTGAAAAGATAACGGATACCCGACGCTGGCCGAAAACATAGATCTGACCGCTGCCAAACTGAGTATCACAGGTGCCAACGGCAACGAGAGATTGAACGGGATCGTAGGTGATAGCGCTGATCTGAGAATTTATGCCATATCGAGCGAACTGCGCACAGGTGAGCAACCGGAAAAATGTTGCCTTGGGTGCCAAGACATACATCATCAAGGGCGAACAAGTCCGGCGACAAACCGTCGGACAGGTCCTTTTGGATGCCAGCTTGCTTTCCTCTCAGGAAATGCGCCATTTCCTGCAAATATGAAGCTCTACCGAGAGGTAAGAAGAGTGTGGAGGGGAGGAAAGAGAAAGAAGAGCTGTGTTTCGCGGTGTTGAAGGGGTGCGGAGCGGAGACCCCACATATGAGCTTTGAAGCATCATACCGCGGAATCTGTTGCAGGCCAGCCGATCAGCCCCGCCCTTTAATTGGGTTTCTTTTCTGCCCTATAAATTACGACCCTCCCTCTTGAAATCACTGTATATGTACATACATACCAAGCGACAAAAGAAGAATACTACTAGAAGAAGCAAAAATTAGAACAACGAGTAAACGAACAAATAGAAAAATAAAAAGGCGGGGCATATCGGATTGACTATTTGAAGCCTTCCTTCTCCAAATTTGTGAAGGGGGTACAGATCGTAAATTGTTCATTTATATGAGCAGGAGGTAATCTATCGTGTAAATCGCCGGACAAGCCTGTACTGCACCCAAGTTCGCGCCAAGAATTTGTACGACAACACTCTGAGTAATACAGTGATCGCCAGATCTGCTAGGCAGCAACAATGGACTGAGCACCAAAGGGAGTACTTCTCATTGAAACGGTACTGTCGTACTCCAGGCTACTACTCACGCCCAGCAGAGTTTCAGCTAACGCCCAGGGTAGCTTTATTAGGTCTATGCTCCCATCCCGGTTACCTCTCCTCAGGTAGTTCCGAGTCCCGTTGGAAACCCACAGCTTGTATATCAAAGACACCTAAACGCCGGTATTGTGCAACCTCCTGAAATGAGTCCCTCGTTTGTAGGTCTGAGAACCGGGTTTATCCCTCAGATAGTGGCCATCTTGTTCAATATCGTCGTCAACCGCCTCCTCGCATCATTTTCCGCAATCATATCTCGGTTCCGATAGTATTGCACGGTGACTCTTTCAACCGACCGATAGCAAGCATATCTGTTAATGGCGGTCACAGAAGAAAGTCAGCATTACATATGCCAAACTCTTTGCAGGACGAAAGCACATACAAAAGTTGCCGTATCCTTTCCATCTCGCTTCCTGCCATCCGCGATCGTCCAAAGCCGTCCAGCATGGAAGACGATGGCTCTTCGAACATTTCAGCCATGTAGATGTCACCCCATAGTGTTTTGCCCAAGTCCACAACTCCAGACAATTGTTTGGATTCTGGATTCACTAGTACTTGCGTAGGGTGACCAAAGTCAATTACTACTAACTGTGGTGAAGTAATTTCTTCAAGTGCTGGTGATAACCGACCAAGCTGGTGCCTTATCTCGGCATACGGAAGGTTGACGAAGACGTCCTCCGAGTCACGGAGAATGCTTTCAAAGAGGATAACAAAGGCCTCTCGCCAAGATCGTCTTCCAGCGCCGCTCGCCACCTGTTCCAGAGTCCCAAAGGAGTCAGACACATGTTGCCCAATCTTTTGGGCTAAGACTCCCAATTGCTGGTCAATATCTTTCCGGTTCTGGGGAGTAAGCCAAGGCTCCATTTCATGTAGTGTAGCTCCGATCACATAATGCCGCATAAAAAAGGCGGAATCGCGCAAATTAACTCGAGAGTTGTAATGGAAGATTTGTGGGATGCCAGGAATTCCACTCTGTTTGAGTAAAGCGAGTGCACGGGCTTCTGTGTCAATCATGAATTGCTCTCGCCGTAGCAACGGTGTCATCGGCGCCGGCGAACACTTCAAAAGTACATGGACTCCATTGGATAGTAAGATGACGCAAAGTGGATGGAGATGGCCGTCAAGGGGAGAAATATTGCTAACATGGACAGTAGAAGTGAAGATCCGCTGAACAATTGTACACAGTTTCTCAGATACTTCGAAACTGCGAGAGTAATGGTCACTAAAGGAAGGGGTCATGGTTTATTGTTCTAACTTGAATGAAAGACTGTCGGCAATGGTCGATACTAGTTTGCTCATTATGAAATGTCATATAAAAACCAGAAGAAAGGAGAAACCAATATATGATGGAACATGGAGGGTTAACAAAAAACATGGTTCAGACATAAATGGTGGAATACCACCCTACAGCGCAACGAAGCGAAGACTAAGATGGTATCAGAAGTGTTAAATTGGATCGTCTAAACGAGGATCCACATCATGGACTCCTGCTTCGTTCGTCTATGTATTCTGCAGTTCGGTATGAGACGCTATGGTCTCAATTTACCAGACCATTTCCACCACCAGCACATCATCCACTGGCTGCTTCCCGAAATCGCTAAAGCAAACCACAAAATTGGGCCACAAATTTGGGTTCAATGACATTGTAGTAAGAGAGTCGCGAGTCAAGCGAACGTGGCCCCCCTGACTGATTAGACGGAGGAATGAGCCAACTGGATTGCGCGGAGATATGCGGGCACTGATGAGGTCAATAGAGTGAGTGACATTAAGAACTGGGGCTTTCGCCTAAGGCTCCCGCTCTTAGAAAGGTGCGATGCAGTCGAACCAATCAGAGGTCCGCCTTGCCGAAGACAACAAAGCATCCCGTCCTCAGGATTTTTGATCCCCTGTACTCCGTACTAGTAATGGTCTCGTCTTAGTACTTGTGCGCCTTGAAAATACATCTGTGCACTTGCAGTTTCACAAATTAATTTCCCAAAACATCACTTACGTATCATATCAATACCAATTTTGTTTTGGTTTTTCAGAGACTTGGCTCCCTGAATCAGTCAGCATTATGCGATATATATACCAAATTCCATTTACCGAGTATACCGCCAATTGGACTATTCCAACGAGGAACTAACAGTACTCCTAACTGAAACAGGCTTGAAACATCTGATGGATCATGGGAAAACCATCAATATCTGTAGTCGTCACGCCCAGTTACAAATCACGTCATGACAAAGAAGTACGACGAGCTGCTAGTGTTAGGGATGAAAAGAGTAACAACTATTTGTACTAGGTCAGGTTGATCTATCACCATTTTTGGCGAGACAAACACGTGTGCATGCACGTGTAAAGAGCCGTCAAATGGTCAAACAATGGGACCATTCGCCTAAGGTTTGGAGATTTGGAATCGAGAGTATTCGAGTTGTTCCAACATGCTTCAAAGCGGGCTTCTCCATCCAAGACGACTAGACCCGATGAATCACATGGACCTCTCGAGTGTAACTGCTATTCTGGGTAAGGGAGAATAAATGGAACGAAAAAAAGGCCCTTCAGTTGTGCAAGCACTTTTCTCAAACTGTAGGCATCTCTGTTGGTGGCAGATACGTGGGTCTCAAAAGGTACATATCATGGGTAAAGTTTATATTTCGCTTACAACAATGTGTGTATGGACATACTGGATAGAACACTAGCTTGATTCCAGGGTAAACTATGGAGTAACAGGAACATACTAAGTACTGGAACAACATTACTAGGTACTAGGTATTGTCCAACTTTGCCCAAAGTGGGACTAGTATGTACTATGTAAGTCGCTTTTATGACGCCTTCCTATTTTGTCTAAGCTGCACTAATCAGATCTTACATTAAAGCGCCTACCGCAACGCCTTCCATGCTAACCTCAGCCACATTCTATCTGAACCTCCGCCTTCTTACTCAAAGAGCTCTTGGTTATTGTCCTGAACTTTTGAGTGGTAGGTATTTTGATGTCAATCCTACAGTTCTAGTACTCAATAAGTATCCAACACACATTCCCCGAGCAAAAAACATATAATAGCATATCTCTGCTAGTAACTAGGCCCCACAATTTTACCTACTGGACAACACCATCCGGAACTTTTTCTTTCGAAGAAGGTTAGCTAGTAGTACATCATTTTAAGACCCAATATTGACAGTCTTGTTATCAAGTGACTACCATGGTTCTGGACATATCTCCGCAGGCGTGGTCCTCGATAAGCGTACCCCAGAGTAGCATAATTCTCATTTAAAGTTCAAGAAGTGGTCTTCCGACATTTTCTTCTCCTTCCAAATACGAGGGAAATGACAAACTCCCGATGGATATGAACAAGTGCTTACTACCATTCCTAGTAGGTGTTCACCGGGTCACGGTATATGCTCTATTCTGCGAAGCACCAAGGAGCTTATGAGCCGTTCAAGTACCTACTTTCCCATAGGACCTCCCTCCCTCCACATTTCTTCTTTTTCTTCTCTCTCTCTCTCTCTCTCTCTTTTATTTTATTTTATTTTTTATTTATTTTTTATTTTTTGAGAAAAGAAGAGCGATGCTGTAATGATGCATTGTGTAATATTTCTTACGTATCCAAGGTTGACATTCACTATTTCCACCGCTCAAGCCAAAATGTCTCACAATCTACGAAAATCGGTTTAAACCGAGATTCAATCAGTTGGCTGTCTGGGTTCGGCTTCCTGCGAGCTCGGTGCTGGTTTGTAGAGCTCAGCTAGACTGTATCTTTTCAGCTTGTCGTAGTCACTTCCGGCAACACTCATCCCAATCACGTTCTGAATACAGAGGTCAGCCACACGGGAAATGAATTTTAAAGAGCATGAGAATAGTGTTGACTGTTGTGAAACAGACCTTGATTACATCAACAAGGATAATAAGATCGTAATTTTTAAGATCAACAGAATGCTCAGGTCCTACAACACTGGCTACTGATTTGATGAGACTGTCTCTGTCGAACTTTTGATTGCTCCTTATCGCAGGCCGGATAGCGAACTGTATTTGTAGACCTTAAGAACATGTCTGGAAATATAAAGCTTAGGGTGCTGTGACATACCTTTTTGGGACCCCCACCGGAGTGAAAGTGAGGCTTTAAAATCTCACGCGCAAAAGCCTCTAAATCAACACTGAGAGTCTTTCGGATAGATTTGACAGGCGTCATTCGTTGGATGTATCGACTTCTCTTCCTGTGTGGGTTGGCATGCGCATCCACGCAGATCTGATGGACTAGTTTCTCGGGATCAATCGACTTATCGAATCGTATGAACAATACTAAGTAAATTTTTAGTCCTAGTCGTATTATCTTTAACTAACGTTAAAAGCATCCACGAACCACACGGAATGTCCAGCCTGATGGCCTGAAACTGACGAGGCTTGGCCGAGCTAGGCTTCAGCCCTTCGACTTCCTTTCTGATTTGGGCTTCGATATCATCTTCGTCCTCTGAGCCGGAGTCACCATCTTGACCCCCAGCATCTGGCGTTTCGATGCTCTGGTGCACATGGCATATGTCAGCTGCACAATTGAAGAGTCTGGAATACTGCCGCGGAGCATAACATGTTCCTGGTCATAGTTTCTCCCATAGAATGGTACTAACCTGGGAGAAGAGATCCAGCACCTCCGAGATGCATTTACCTTCCTTTCCCATATCGCAGGTTACAATTACTCCCCAATCCCCACTTTCAATGCCAGCTTTACCATTTTGCTGCTTATGCCAATTACCGCCTCCCTGTAACGCATATTAGATCTCCTGACTACTGGGGCAATACAATGGAAAGAAGAAGGAAAAATTTCAGATGACCACTAGGTCCAGATCGCCGAGAGTCAAAGCAAAAGTAGGCCAACCTTTCTTTTTTTGGAGGACTGAGATGAGTTGTCCGGCATGCTCCTTTTTCCTGTTCCCGCCATTCACGGATGCAGTCCGAGTTAAATTTAGGTAGTGGTGCCGTCTTTTCCTCGCAGGGATTATTTCTAAAAAAAAGGTTAAGGTTGCTGTATGTTTGCACGGGTTTGGTCAGGTAAACATAGCAATATGCTAGTATCTGATGCCGTTTCGCCGCTGTGTGGTCTTCCCAGAAAATTCTCGATTATCATTGGCATTGCGGCAACGCCGCGGGGTGTCGAGACGTCCACATACGGTTTAGTGGAAGAGTATCATCCCATCCGTATCGGGTGGGGTGGGCTGACTGTCACGCCAGCGACTCGGAGCCTCGGGTTCGTCGGCATGGAGCACCAGGGATATACCTTCTAAACAGTGATCAGGTAGATCCCGATAATAGACTATCTTCCAACCATCGGCCCATTCTCCGTTGTGTTGGGTCGCAAGTGTTCTTCACCGTGAACTACCATAGGCATAGCCCAGACATTTGGTATTTCTTTTACAACAGTCCTTAACTACATTGCGACCTTAGCTATGACAGCCGGTGGCTGACTGTATTGTAAGCTTGTAATTTTTGTGTACTATCTTTTGTCCGACACTCGGCCTGGAAGCCTATGACATCACGTTATCATGACGTATGGCCTGGTCTTTTCGTTGCACGTCGAGTTGTACAGGACATTCTGTATTCACTACTATATAACTGCACCCCCTGGTCCATGTTTCCCAGGAAGAATTCAATATCCAACAATCCATAGCAAAAACCTATTCATCTACTATACCTTCCATTTTCTCTTACTGAGTTCTTACAATGGCGACAGATATCGCTACAAGAGATCTTCGCAAGCCCATAGATGTCGCCGAATACCTCTTTAGACGACTCCGTGAAGTTGGCGTTCGTGCAGTACACGGTGTTCCTGGTAAGCATCAACGCGCCAACTTTTAGCGCAGTTACTGACAGCATCAATCCTCACAGGGGATTACAACCTGGTGGCTTTGGATTACCTGCCAAGATGCGATCTTCATTGGGTAGGAAACTGTAATGAGCTTAATGCTGGTATGTCTCCACAGAATGGGAACTATGGGCATGGTAAAGGAGTGGCGCATATCGCTAACCGTGGCCAAATACAGGATACGCTGCTGATGGATACGCTCGAATCAATGGAATGGCTGCTCTAGTCACCACCTTCGGTGTGGGTGAGCTGTCGGCGCTCAATGCTATTGCTGGTGCATACTCTGAATTTGTCCCTATTGTTCACATTGTTGGTCAACCACATACGAAATCACAGAAGGATGGGATGCTCCTCCACCATACCTTGGGTAACGGCGACTTCAACGTCTTCACCAGAATGAGCGCCGACATCTCTTGTACTCTTGGATGCTTGAACCAAACTCATGAAGTGGCAACGCTCATTGATAATGCTATCCGAGAATGTTGGATTCGCAGTCGGCCGGTTTATATCTCTCTCCCTACTGATGTGGTGACAAAGAAGATTGAGGGAGAACGGCTGGATACCCCTCTCGATCTCAGTCTGCCACCGAACGATCCCGAAAAGGAAGATTACGTTGTGGAGGTGGTTCTGAAGTATTTGCACGCTGCGAAGAAACCCGTTATTCTTGTCGACGCTTGTGCTATCCGCCATCGTGTACTTGACGAAGTTCATGAGTTCGTGGAAAAATCTGGGTTGCCCACCTTCGTGGCTCCAATGGGTAAAGGAGCAGTGGATGAGACTCACAAGAACTACGGCGGTGTTTACGCTGGTACTGGATCAAACCCCGGTGTTCGTGAGCAAGTTGAATCTTCAGACTTGATTCTGAGCATCGGTTCTATCAAATCAGATTTCAACACGACTGGATTCTCCTACCGTATTGGCCAACTTAACACCATTGACTTCCACAGTACATACGTGCGCGTCCGGTACTCTGAATACCCTGATATTAACATGAAAGGCGTTCTTCAGAAGATTGTTCAAAGAATGGGCAATCTCAATGTCGGACCAGTCTCGCCGCCGTCGAACCTACTGCCGGACAACGAGAAGGCATCAACTGAACAGGCGATTACCCATGCGTGGCTCTGGCCTACTGTCGGGCAATGGCTGAAAGAAAAGGATGTTGTTATCACGGAAACTGGCACTGCCAACTTCGGTATCTGGGACACTCGGTTCCCAGCAGGTGTTACAGCCATTAGTCAGGTTCTTTGGGGCAGTATCGGTTATTCAGTCGGAGCTTGCCAAGGAGCTGCGTTGGCCGCGAAAGAGCAAGGCCGACGAACCGTACTTTTCGTGGGTGACGGAAGTTTCCAGCTGACGCTCCAGGAAGTCAGCACCATGATCAGAAATAACCTTAACCCTATCATGTAAGTCCCGCCTCTGAGTGACACATGTCTCATGCCCGGCTAACATCGTACGTAGCTTTGTCATTTGCAACGAGGGATATACCATCGAACGGTATATTCATGGATGGGAAGCTGTTTACAATGACATCCAGCCCTGGGACTTCTTGAACATTCCTGTGGCATTCGGCGCGAAGGACAAGTATAGAGGATACAAGGTCACAACCCGGGACGAGTTGAGAGAGCTTTTCGCAAATGAAGAATTTGCTTCGGCACCCTGTCTACAGGTAGGTTACAGCCCCTTTGCCCCTTTCGGAAAAGTATCAATGATACTAACCATAGTAGTTGGTTGAGCTCCACATGCCTCGCGACGATTGCCCAGCCAGTTTGAAATTGACAGCCGAATCGGCCGCTGAGCGGAACAAGTCCCTTTAATTTCTTCAAGCCATACTCTAGAATAAACCAAATTTCTTTCCTTCTGTGCAGTTCGGGAAATCGGTTTCAGTTAGCATGCCACCATGTACACGGGGCATCTTTAATATTACCATGACATGTGGTTAAGAGATTCTGTTCACTACGGGAGTTTTAATTAGTTCTTTATCTGCCTTTCCTCTCTTTTCTTTCTTTTTAACAACTTTCTCAGTTGACATTTTGATCAGGTTTGATTAGATAACAATGAATTAAACCTTCCTTTAGAAAGAGAGAAAAAGCAAAAAAAAAAAAAAAAAAAAAAAAAAAAAAAGGACAAA